CTTGGAGAACATGATGGAGCTTTAAGCAGCTAAAGAGTCGGACATTTCCCTCAGGAGGTGGAGGAGACCAAACACAGAGCTACTATAAAAGTATAAACCAGGTTGAGCTCCATCAGGGTGACACACAGGAGGGAATTCTTACAAACATACTCTGATTGAATCGAGGCGGACGTGAATCTCTAAAGTGTCTGTGTTTGTCGTGCTGTTGGCGGCGGTCTGATGCTGACACAAATATTGCGGTTATCCTCCGTAAATACGTGTTTTTATCTTTGAAACTTTCAGGGGGGGGTGACGTTGTGAGGTGCATGTGTGAACAACCAGATCAGGAGGACATCCGGAGCAGTCCTCTTAAATGATCTAGATATTTTGAGGAGTGGAGATGTGAAAGCAGCTTTAGAGAGGACACAGTGTGCTTCACATAGAGACATGTGGAAACTGTCTCTGAACATTACATCCTAAAGTTTGATGGGTGTGAAACAGATATGAATAATATTTCTATCGGACCTTTCCAGCCTGAACTCCACAAACAGAAGCCTTCACGTCACACTGTGTCGTTCTGTCAGCAGGGCACATTCACGTTGTGCATGAAACAAAGCGCACTGAACACGAACTGATAACCATCACTTCCTGTTTGCCAACTTGAAGCTCTTTTTTAAAATATTCTAAGCTTAGGCAGGGGAAGTGACATATGTCTTTAAAAAAAGCTGCAGAAGAAGACGAAGAGTCCTCCATTAAAAGGGGAAACGGCGGTTTCAGAGATTTGGATGTCAGTAAGAGTGAGTGTGTGTATGATGAGTGTGTGTGATGAGTGTGTGTTGTTGAAGAGTTTACTAAGACTTGACTCCACACAATAAGACTCAGTTGACTCAGATGGCTTTCGTTGATGAAAGTTTATACTTAAGAAGAATACTCATGAGGAGACATGGATCAACATCACACTTCTGTTCTCGTGTCTTGCTCAATCACATCTCCTGAACTTTTTGAAAGGCATCGCATATATCCTAAAAGACATTATCATCATCAGGGTCGTGTCACATTGACCCACCTAGACTAAACTGTGACGTCTATAACACTGGAGCAGACAACAAGTCTACCAAACATCCAGCAGATATCAGGAAGAACAGTTGACACTCTCTAAGCTGTACTTGGTGTTCTAATAACAACTGAACTCTGTCAGGTCTGACTGACATTAGAGAACAGTGAATAAACCTAATAACGTCTGTACATTATAATCTAAATAACTTCAGAAATGACACCACGTGTGTGTGATGAGTGTATGGTGCAGGTGTTGGATGGAAAAGGGAGATGAAGTTAAAAACAAGGAGCATGCAGGAAGTCTCCGTGAGCAGGCTGTGAGCGTCGGGCTGATTGGAACCTGCATCACAAGAGAAGAGAAGACTCAACCTGACAGGCACAGGGGCGTCACGGGGGGCTGCACATGAAGGAGCACCCGAACAGTTAGGGGGGTTCAGCGCCTTGCTCAAGGACACCTCGGCAAAGTGATCTGGCACCTCTTTCAGACTTCACCTGTAACTGGCGACCCTACAAGTCCCTACAGACTGAGCTACAAACAGCTGCCAGATGAAAGTCTCAGAGTTTTTATAGCGGATGTTGATTTGTGACACTCGTCCCTATAAGAGCTTTAGAGTAGATAAAAGATGAAAACAGTTAAAAAGAAAAAGAGAGAGTAAACTGAATAAACAACATTCAGTGAGACACATTAAGCTGAGATGTTGCTGCAAACAATAAGAGCATGAGTCTGACGCTGAACTAACCAAACTAATCAAAGTGGTGAAGTTGGCAGTAAGACGTGAACAGGCAGCGAGCTCCAGGAGTTTCCTACTTTCAAAAAGAAAAACCAAGAAACTTCACAGTCAACGCTTGAAGCTGCTCTGTTGAGACTCTGTGATTATATCTTCAGGAGTGCAGCTATAAAAACAGATCTAGAGTATAAATCTCTGCAGCAGGCGTAAGTGTTTACATTTAGCTTCCAGTCATGTTGTGTGACACTTTGATTTACTTCATCAATTTACAGGTTCAGTCTGAGCAGTCAGGCTGCTGGGGAGTAAAAAAAAAGAAACAATACAAATTCTTTCTGTCTTTCTGCAGGATGCATGAGGCAGCGGGCGGGTTGGCAGCACAGGATGTTTGCATCCTGACACACACACACACACACACACACACACACACACACACACACACACACACACACACACACACACACACACACACACACACACACACACACACACACACACACACACACACACACACACACACACACACACACACACACACACACACACACACACTTTTAGCATTAAAGGGGACATATTATGAACAATCCACTTCTACAGTGTTTCTGAACATATATTTGTGTAACCTGAGTGTCTACTAAACCCATCCAGTCCTTTGTTTGTGGTCTGCATAAGTCTTACAACACAGAGAAAACTGCTCTGTTTCAAATGTGCTCACCTTGTGATGTCACAGTGGGAAAAAATCCCCTCCCCTCCCCTGATATCTACACCTATTGTCTCCACTCATTCTCTCTCATGAGTGAAGCTCACCACAGAAAACATTTAATCTTAAGAAATGAGTGAGATGATAAATCGGTGTTCAAAGTACTCACTGCTATTTTTCCTTTAATTGACTCGTCAGTTAGTCAAGGAATTAGTGAGCGTTCATGTATTTCTGTTCACAAATCAGGATGATTATTTTGGGTTATAAACTGCTGATCTGACAGATATTTAGACACATTATGAAATATAACAGCGCTGCACCAAAAAAAAAAAAAAACACAGCAACAAGAGGTTAGATTCTTTTTTTCTGCATGTAAACATCATGTGACTGCGGCTCAAACAGATACAACACGATGGTTTATACCTGTGTGTTCAGAGTCTTAAAGGACTGAAAGGGTTAAATAGATTTATTGGCACAAAGAAAACCACGCAGCTCCGATCACAACAAGAGAGGAAGAAATTAACCTTTCATTCACCTTAAAAAACGGAAACAGACACAAAAACACACAAACACTCAGTTCCACCTGTGTGTCAGGAAGTCAAAACCCTCCCGTGTGTGTGTGTGTGTGTGTGTGTGTTCCTGAATTAACGAGTCCTCGCGCTCTGTAAACCAAACGTTCGCGCTCACCTTGAACACATCTCCGTATGTGCCGCACCCGATCCTGTGGATTAACTCGTAATCATCCAGGGGGTCCAGAAAGGAGACACCTATCCGGTCCATGATGGAGACACCTCAGGGTGCTGCTGCCTGACAACTACTCACACATCACACACACACCGCTGCTGCTGCACGTTTTACCGCAGGAGAAGATAAACACTCTGACCGTTAACGGGACCGAACTGGATCTGACTAAAAACTGGAGGGGTCGACCCTGCAGAGAAGCAGAGAGAGAGAGAGAGAGAGAGAGAGAGAGAGAGCGAGAGAGGCAAGAGCGAGAGTTCAGTGACTGCAGACTGACACTGTGAAAGTATGCGCGCGTGTGTGTGTGTGTGTGTGTGTGTGTGTGTGTGTAGACAGTCCCGAGTGGAGCTGGAGCCAGTTCACGCATGAGCAGAGACACTGCACACTGTAAAAAAATGCAAACACAAGTCGAACTCACCTCCTCTGATCCTGTCCATCTTTGAAACACAACATGCAAGAGTAAGAGGGAAATCTACGGTGGCCCTGAAGGTCAACTGCACAAATATTTCATGCTTGCAACAAAACATTTCATTAATGCAAACATATTAGCCTAAATGACACACAAATACATTTTGAAAAGCGGAAAAATATTTCAAATACTGCAAAAAAATATGTCAACGTCTTCGTACAACATATCATATGGAAGAGGGTTATAGGGCCACACATGAGAAATTAATAATGATTAAAAAAAAATTACATTATGCGCAAGAAAAAACTCAAGAATTAAAGGAGCAATATATGACACCTTGTGTTTAAAATGGGTACTGCAGTCCACACTCTAAACATTGTAGAGCTGTCTCCCCCCCCCCTCCTCTCTAGAGTCCATGCTCTCACAGGTCACCATGTGGTGGACTCTGAAGCTTCAGTGTTTATCCAGCTCTGCATCGGTCTGTAAACCTTTCTGTGTTCTAACCTCTCTCCATTTTTCAAAAGCATCTCCAATATTGATCCTAGTTTGAGCACGTTTCTGCTCGTGGAGCTTATTAGAAACATGCAGAGGCTTTTTAGGTCGGGTACAATCACTTCTATCTGAACCACTTCTCTTGCCCGCTTCCATCACTGCAACACCTGTTGACCTGATAACTGCTCTCATATCTGGCAAACTGTGGGGTGTCCAAAACGGCCGTGTGGGGGTGTCTTAAAACCGCCTACATTCTCTGGTCCAAACAAATCCAGAGCATTCAGGACCAGAATCTAAAGTTAGAAGGAGGACATACTGGCTGCTGCATTGTTGTCAGAGAAGCCAGCACTTCAACATGTTTCCTTAATGTCTGATCATATAGTAAGATACCTTTATCATCTCACTCACTACACATCTCACTGGTTGGATGTTTAACAAATAGCAGAAGGTACAGTCATGGATTTTCTGCGTATTATTTAATCGATATTGAATCATACTGTTACACAATTTCAGGTATATAAGATTTGCATTTGTTCTTTTTTCTCTAATTTCTCGTCCATTTTGAATAATAATCCCAATTTAAAATCATAAATAGTATACCATGCTGCTTTTTGGTATCCTTGACTCTTAATGGGATCATAATTTACTACATGAACGTCACGCTGGGTCTGAAGAAGACTTGAAACTCAAGCTTGAGACTATAGAGTCACTGAAAAAATGTTTACTGAGGGAATAAATCCAGAGAAGTAGGACGGTTTCATCATAGAAGTCTCTTTCTTCCACTCCTGTTTTGTCCCCTGCTGGACATGAAAAGGACTGCAGGTTTAAGACACTTTTTACAGTGTACATCCTCTCACAGCTGGGTCCCCTGTGAACACACACACACCTTCACACAGTGTTTCCATCAGACCTTTATTACTTGCAGATACAAAAACAACAACTAAAAGGTAAATCGATGTATCGGGCCTCCTACTGAGGCGCCGTCTCAACAGTGCATGGTCTCCTGCTCCTCTCTACTCATCAGAAATGAGGCCTAACGCAGCTAACCGACACTAAAGGCCACCTACTGTAGATAGAACAAAGGCAACGTAAGGCAACAAAGAGCTGGCAATAAGAAGCTGTGGATCGAGCACAGGTGGACAATGTTACACAGTAACTATCCTAAATTAATCACTTCCAGGCTTCAGTCATCAACACTGTCCTAATGGTCGTTTTCACTCCTCTGTACGCTGGATTCTGGAGAAACTTTGGCTTCAAAACATCCACATGTGAGTCAATCAGAAGTTAATAGTCAGTGTGCAATTGGCTGCCAATTAATACACAAACTAATGAGTGTTTACAATCTGTCAAACCAGGAAAAGTCTGTTTGTTTCCAGCTGAAGTTGAATTAAAACACAATGAAATGTTCCCTCCTTCAGTTTTAAGTTACGGCGGACGACAAGGGCGAACCCGCAGCAACGGCCCAGAGGATTTTCATCAGGAGAAAGTGATGCATCGTCAGCAAATGTGCCGCAAAAGCAAGCACTGCAGATTAGAAAGCCACAGAAACATGCTGCACATCCAGTCAATGCATACGAAGTGCTCCAGGCCTGTAGGGGGCGCTTTAATGGACACAATAATCTACAGAGGAGATTCGTGTTGCCAGGAGGACTTGATGTTTGGGGACTGTAAGTCAGACTGAAGACGGGGAATGCAGCAGTGCCGTTGTTTTTTTTTTTTGGCTCATTGTAAACTGCAGAAACCCCCCCTTCTAGGTCTGACTAAGTGCACGCTTAATATCGCTCAAAATGTTTCTCACTCCTCCTCAACCCTTCCACCAGAGTCCTGATTAACTCTCAGTTAACTTTGTCGTTTGGTTAAAGAGACAACACCAACACTCGCCGATCCTCAGAGCTCTCTTAAGCAGAGTAGAACTGAAAATACCACCGTCTGCCCGGCTTATTAAGCTAAACAGCAGCTACACCCTGCAGCACCCCCTACAGGCCACAAGCACTTTGACCGTCATGATCGGATGTGTCGTTTAAGCAGGTTTGATTTTAAAGCCTTTGCTTTGACTTCATGCAGCATGTTTCCCTCCTATTTGTTTATTTGTTATAAAATTGCTTCGTCCTGCAGTTGCATCCCGTTTGCTCCTGATGAAAACATTTTGAGTTGCTGATGCAGCGTGGTTTTCTTTGCCGCCTTCAAACCTGATATGTGAAGAGTGCAACTGAAAAATATTGCTGAGACTGAACTGATGAAAACACGGCTAAAAGAGTTTGACGAATGAAAGCGAGATGTTCACAGTATGAGTCCCCTCCTCCTCCTCGGTGTCTACAGAGACTTGCGCTGCCTCTTCATGAAGGACATGGAGTAATCTCCGCTCGGCGTGCTCTTCTGTCTCTTCATCTGGACCTGCGACTGCGCCGTGAGCTGCAGCTTGATGGCGCTGGAGTTCACCTTGGCGGCACACAGCAGCTCCTTCATCCCCTTCATCTTCTCGCTCTGGAACACCACCACGGGCCCGGCCGGGGAGGAGGTAGGTGAGGGGGGCGCCTCCTGCTGATGCTGGGAGGAGGGAGAGGAGTCCGGGCTTGGGGATTTGGGTTTTCCTTCAGTGTCGCCTCCACGCGGGCCCTGAGAGGAGCGGCGACGGCTCCCTCCCTCTCCCACCTTCTTGGGCTGAGCTGCTGCTGGAGGAGGCTGGGACGAGGGCGAGGTGGGAGGAGCAGAAGAATGAGGAGAACTCTGCTCCTCCAGCTTGGACTCCCTCCTCGGGGGTCGTCTGCGACCTTCTCGGGGGTCATCACTGGACTGGTCATCTTCGTCCTGAGACTCGAGCTCTTTGGTGATGATGGACACCTTCTGACGCACCTGAGGATCACAACACACACACACACAAAGCTTTTAGCTTCAAAGGGTTAACACACACACACACTCACACTCTCTAAAGGTCTATTCCTGGTGCCTCACCTGAGCATCAAAGCGGCTCAGGGACTGGACCAGGTAGGTGGCCCAGCCCACATGAAGGACAGGCGTGGGGCTTCCCTCCTCCCACTTACAGATGCCGTCATAGAAACGCAGCAGGTGAGCGAAACAGTCAGAGTCCTGCAGAGCGGAGAAAGCGGCCGCCTGCTTCGGCTCCTGACAGACAGAAGAGAGGGAGTTACTAACATGCTAAATGCATTTTAATATTTTAAGATTAAGATTGTCGGGGGTACCCCTCTTAATCCCCTCATTTTTCTTCTGGTGTAAATACACACACAATCAATGTTACCAGATTTGTCAGACTGTATCTGGAGTCTGAGCGTTAAGTTGGACAACAATCGTGTTTAGTCTCAGTCACAGCCTGAAGAATCATCATCGTGTTCATTTTAGGTTTTAATCTTTGAAAGATTTTTGGGGGATTTTTACGTCTTTATTGTAGACAAAGGACAGGAGAGCGAAAGAGAGAGAGAGAGAGAGAGAGAGAGAGAGAGAGGGGGGGATGACATGCTGGAAAGGAGCCACAGGCCGGATTCGAACCCAGGCCGCCCGCTTGGAGGACTAAAGCCTCCGTACATAGGTGTGCACACTAACCACTACTCCAACGGCGCCCCAAGACTTGATCTTAAACTAGATTTAAAAACAGTCTGACGCGCTCTCACATCTGAAGACGTTTTAGTCTACAGCTTCACTATTTAAAAAACCATGACTGCAGCGCTGCGATTAAAGGAGGAGGATTATCAATGATGCTTTCAGGGGTCTTGGTTTTTTTTCTCCTATTGTTTTTTTCTCTAAGATGCATAAAACATAAACCAGATGTAATTAAATTCCCTCCAGACATGTCTGAGGTTTCTTCTTCTTGGAACGGGAAGGGACAGAGGTTAAGCCCCCAAATTCTAATCAGTCCATCCTCGAATCCACGAGGGCATTTCGGCGAAAAATGTGAAGATAGGACATTCAGCTCCTGAAATATCACGTATTCGAGCGGGACGGACGAGTGTTCACAGAAATCATCTGCTTTGTATGTCACTGACCATTGGATGTAAGAGGAACACAGGCGTGATCAAAGGACTCATCGCTGGAGCCGTATTTGACCAATAATAAAATGGATCTGGTGGTGGTTTGGTAAACAGTAAACAGCCCGTCCCCTGCTGGGATTACTCACCTTGTCTGCTACCTCCCCCCCCTCTCCTCCCTCCCCCGAACTCTCCGCAGCAGCAGCCGTCTCCTTCAGCAGGTTGGGGATCACATCGTTCGCGATGTCAAAGAACTCCTTATAGATCTCCTCGTCCTCACGGAAATAATTATAGCTGCAAGAGGTGATGAGAGGAGAAGAGATTTTTAATAAAAAGGGACGGAATGAAACGATGAAAGATTTTCAACACCATATTTGTCTGTGATGTTTAAAAAAAAAGAAAGAAGATTTTATAAGGTTCAGGTTTCACTTTGATTTGGTGACATTCAACATGATGATTATCATCTGACACACACACACACACACACACACACACACACACACACACACACACACACACACACACGTCGGAGAAGAAGAAGAACAATGCAGCAGCAGGAAGAGGAAGCTGATGGATGGCGAGGAATGCGAGCTGTGGAGGGTCACTGATGATATTTTTAGCTGCCGGAGGAGAGAGAGCGAGGATGCAGAGCTCGACACTTCCTGTTTCAAACACCACACCCTCCAAACTAACTGGGATCAGTGGTGGAGGTTTACTGGTGAACCATCTCAACCCACAAACGTCACCGCCTCATCACCTTTAGATTGATCTTTTTGAATAATGACCGACCTAATTCTAACATTTAGTCTACCTCAAATTATTTCTCAATCTGCCACAACCCCAGTTCTGGATTGGTAGTCGTGCATTTGCTGCCATCTTGTGTTCATCTGGTGGTATTACACCTGAGGCAGCCGTTAGAAAACATGTGACACAATGATTCGAATTGCAGAACAGAGGCATCTCCTTCATCAGTTTGGTTAATTACTTTAAACAGAAATGTTGCTCTATGATAGTTCCACTTTAAGACGAGGGTGTGTTCTACATAGTCAGCTTTAGGACCAAATCTAAAACCACTTCTTTGTGTTTGGACCAACAAAGAACCGGCTCTCGGATAGAAAAAATTAAAAAAATTAAAAAAATTCCAGAGACGCGCCAACTACAAGAAGGAACCGCTGACATCCGGGGCAGGGGGCGGGCTTATTCACGTTAAAACCTTTGAAAATTATCTTTAATGGACATCAAGGCTGAGCAGCCGAGGTCACAGGAGGAGACGAGCTTCACAGTCCAAATCAATTCTCACGTGCAGGACCGATTCCTTGTGTGTGTTTAAACGCCATTGCCCCTTAAAACAATACCACAGGATTTGACCACTGTCACTTTTACCATCTAAAGTCCGCTTTAAATTCTAAAGTCTCACAGTTGACGTGTTCATATCTTTGTTGGATTAATGTCACCTTGAAATTTAAAATTCAAAATGTTTCCTTGCATCATCTTCTTCTTCCCTAACTTCAGCCTGCAACAGATACTCATAACATTTCTAGCCGTGTGTCAGAGAGGTGTGTGAACTCACTCCTGCATGACCTGAGCAGCCTTGGCCCAGGCCCTCAGAGCGTCCCTGACGTTCCTGTGTCTGTAGTGGAAACCTGCGAGGTACATGTAGGGGTAGATGTGCTCGTTGTTGTAGTGCCTCTGCGCAGAGGTCACGGCCTGAGAGAGAAACACGGGAAATAAGGAGAATAAAAAACCTGTTTCGAATGTGATCTTCACTTCCTTACAGTCTTATGACAGTCTATGAGTCTGACCTGGAGGTGGATTTTCAGCGGGTTCTCCTTTCCTGGGATTGGCTCCTGATCTTCAAGGTCGGCCAGAGTGCCCATCGCCATGGGATACCTGCAACAACACGGGACAGGAGGAGCTGGTTGAATTTTAAGAACGCCTTCATAGAGTTACATTAAAGTGGGGTCGCAGTGAGCTGTATAAAAACTTCTTCTGAGACTAGTAATTCAAAACAAACAATCTCTCACCTGTCCAGGTTTCCTCGGTCGTACAGCAGCCAGAGAAGTTTCTGTAAATCAGGGAGGAAAGGAGAACAAAGAAATGATCGGGAAGAGATTCAGATGATTCAGAGAAATCTTTATCAGGTCTGACATGTCCCACATAAGGCCCTGAGGCCACCAAGTGTTTTTTTTCTGGAAAGAAAAGCGTTGGTTGTGTTTGCATGAAGCGTTTGTGCGCTGTCAATTAATGCACAGCACTTCCGTCCTGTCTCTATGACAACAGTCTGCTGACAACAGCTGCTGTCCACATTCCATAGGTGGAAAAAATACGGGGAATATAATATATTTGGAAAAGAGCGCCAGTGACGTCAACAGCGACTTTATGAAAAGATGAAAGATTTTCACCTCGAAGCACTTGCACAAGAAAGTAGCTGGGCGCCTTGCTTTTTCTCCAGGCAGCCGCTTTTGCTTCTCTTCAAACATTCTCTACTCATTGAAAACTATTTTAAAAAGACGCTAGGTTGGTAAATGTTTCTTTTTTTTTCCCCAAGATTTTTTTTTCTGGCCTTTTCGCCTTTATAGAGGACAGCTGATCGAGACAGGAGATGTAGAGAGAAGAGAGCAGGGGGATGACGTGCAGCAAAGTACAGAGGTCGGATTCGGACCCCCGGTTTCTGCAACAAGTTTGCTGCGCCCTGAGTGCAGAGTTTTAAAGGGGACATATTATGAAAAATCCACTTTGACAGTGTTATTGAACATATATTTGGGTAACCTGAGTGTCTACTAACCCACAACATGTGAAATAAACCCATCCAGTCCTTTGTTTGTGGTCTGCATAAGTCTTAAAACACAGAAAAATGCTGTTTCAAATGTGCTCTCCAAAAACAATCCCCTCCCCTCCCCTGATATCTCCACCCATAGACTCCACCCCCAGCCTAGAACAAAACTTTTGTGCAGGTCCGCCATTTTTATTCTCGCTACAGAGGAGTGATGTCTACCAGGAAAACTCAGGGAGGGGTCATTGCATTTAAAGAGACACACACACCAAAACGGAGCGTTCTGAGGGAGCTGGTTTATACAGGGTCACAAACCTCCTCTGGTGCTTGATTCATGTTATATTTTGAGCAAAGCACAGAACAGATGTTTCATTTCAGGGGTATAATATGTTCTCTCTAATGTTAACATTTTCCAAGAGGGCTTTACTCTGCTCTTTTTCCACTCCACCAGTTAGAAAATAACACGTCTGCTGGATAATTAAAGACCTTTTTCTGCTTTGAGAAACATGAAATGTATGACATCGGGAGGCAGAGAGTACCAAACAGGAAGTCCTGAGTATGTCAGTTAAAGTTTGTTAGATCTAGGCCATCTGACATGTAGGTCTCCTCTTCCTGTAACATCAACCACGAAAGTGAAACCTGTGTGGTTCTTGCAAAGACTCATGTCCCACCTGCTGCAGCTGCAGGAGCTCAGAGCTGTCAGTGTGCAGGTCCAGAGACGGGTTGATGGCACACACCATGAACGCCACCTCCATGTTCCTGTCGCACTTCATGTAGGAGCCCTTCAGGTAGAGCCAGCTCTGAGGGACACACAAACACACAACATCTGAATGCAACAGATACAAGATAACGGTGGCGCCTGTCGGCATCACCAGGTTCCATCAGGGGAGATTCCTGTGTGTGACTCATAACTAAATCTCTCGGGTTTATGATCTGTTTTAAGTCACAACAAGATTCTCATCAGATTACGGATACTCACTCATCTTCAGTTGAATAAGAGTACATTTTGTGTTCTGAATTTGATATAGGACTTTATTTAAGTATGTCAAAGAGAACTCCATAAAGGCTGAGAAATACAAAGACCTCACTGTCAATGTGAAGACAGTCAGCCCGCTCACCTTCTCACTGACTCCTGTTGCCACCGTTTGTCCTCGTCTGTCCTCGTTCCCCTTCCCATGCCAGGTGACTTCGGCTGTCTCTTCACCATTTTTACCAAAGATCACCCAGGCATGATCCTCAGAGAGCGCTAGATGGACGTCTTTAAGACCAAGAACCTGACAGGCCGCCACCACAGCAAACGCCACACCTGAGCTGTCCAGTTTGGTACCTGAAAGTAAAGGTTGTTTAACTCTCCGGGACAAACATCTCCACAAAGACTCAATTTAACAATTTCCTTTAGTGTCGTACCAGTGATGAGACTGAACAGGGACTGGATGTGGGCTCGGTCTTTGAAGTACGAGCGGCTCAGACTGTTCCAGATCACGTCAGAGACTTTCTTCACCAGCTCCCTGCTGGACCCGGCAGCAGTCCGGCGGTACTGAGACAGGTCCACGGCGCCGCGGATCTGTGCCGTGAAGCGTTCGTACAGTGCAGAGATCATCCCCAGCTCCACGGTCGGGAAACACGAGCTGGGACAGTCCGGCTCCAGTGGCTCAAACCGCACCCCCGGGACATTTATGGGGACGACCCGGTTCACAGCCAGGAAGTGCTCAACGAAACCAAGGACCAGTGAGAGGAGGGCCAGGTCTGGCTCAGATTTACGGAGCTCAGCGTCAAACAGCTGAACAACGCCGTCGATCCCCCGCAGAGGGAAGTGCTTCTTCTGGGACGAGTGCAGACCCATGGTGGCTCAGACGATCCCCTCACCTGAAGGACTGAGCGTTACAGAACTCTACATCAATATCAGCACAAAGTGTAAAAAGAGTAAAAAGAAGACTCAGTCTGAAATATTCATTGAGGTGCATAGGGTTGTCATTATATTGTGCCGTTTCAAGCCGCAGAATTTTACGTCCCTGTGACTTTTCGCCTTAAAGCTCAACGTTGCGGCAGCTACGAGGGACGAAGTGATCCCCCCTCTGTAGCGTCTTCAGAGGCGATACAGAGGAGAGAAGGGATCAGCTGAGATCAAACACCATGAACAAAGATCAAATGCATTAGAAAAGGATACATACTGGTTTATGTTTTGTTTAATAATTTGATATGATTGGCATAAAAAGGTGTTAAAAAGTAAAAATCAACAGACATTTTTTAACTCCATTGACCGACTCAACAAGTTCCAGAATTTTACTGAAACTAGGCTGTTGCTAAGCAACCCAAACATTCATTTCTGCTGTCTGTGTCCATGGTAACCGCAGAGCAGCAACTATGTCAGCATGAACCTTTACTTGAATGTCAAAAGAAATGAGTGGTAACCATAGACCGTAAATATTAACATGCTAACATAAAAGTCTGTTGTGAGATTCTATGGTTTGAGATGATGTATAAAGGACATTTCTGTCCGCTGTAAATGTTCATTAAAAGTGTTCCTAACCTCCAGGATGAAGAGGAGGGATACATAATGTGAAAGGACCCAGTGATGTTGTTGTTCTCCTGTAAAGTCGCTAAGGGAATGACTCGTTTAATCATAATCGCATTGGTCCGAATTAACTGTTGAATATTAATTCCTAAGCCTCCCTTAAGTATCTAATAAATAAAACATTTGATCACGATATAAACAAACAAAAGAAGAACCAGCAGGACACTGACCCTCAGCAGCTTGTGCGGTTGCATAATGTTGTTACATCAAGCTGCTGTCTGTGGCGCTTTGGTGGGCGGGGCACTCCCGCTGCTACACACTCACATTCAATGAAAAGCTGCTAACAGCTTTAAGACATCCTCTATGAACACTTTACTGGTACAAATGTCTCCACAATATCACACAAACTTAAAATATCCCATTATAGACAGAATACTACGTTAGGATGATTAATTAGCTAGCCTGCGTGGTTGGTTTATGAAGGCTAACTAGCTCTCTTTACTAAGTTAAGTTAATATTATCGACCGAGTTAAGCTCGCTGGTTGAGCTAGTTTTCTGAATGAACTCAACGTTATTAAGCGGTATAGAGCACAATAAAAGCCTAGACAATGAAGCGACCCCCGGCTCGGGAGAGCAGGTGGCTGAGTGATGAGAGGAGCAGCTAACAAGCTAACGAGCTGCTAGTTAGCTAAACTCACCACTTTAAGATAACTCTTCTCGCCCGAGCACTCTCGCGGGATATACCTCCACATTACAACTCAACGCCGAGTCGCTCTACGTTATTATTAACGTACAATACGACTGACTTTTTGGGAGATTACCTACCTGTTTTCTCACAGGCTCAGCCACATGTTTTTGTTTGTGTACCCCTCTTTTGCCGCGCACTTCTGTCTGCCAGAAAATCAATTGCAGTGCGTCAACGGCCGCGACGTTTGCGCGCGAGAGCAGATCTCATAACAGTATACCAGGAGCTGACATGCGCAGAGGAACGCTGTTAGCCCCATCCATGTAGTTATAGATCTCTTAGTCTTCGCGCACGGTTTGTTCTCATGTACGATGGGAAATGTAGTTTATTGTAACGTATTCGTTCGCACGCCCAGTAGAGGGCAGCATGTTGTCATGTTGTGACAAATTACCTCCAAATGGAACAAAGGTAACCATTACATAATGGAAAAATAGGTTATACACTGTGTAAAATCGTTTAAAATTGTATTATAGCCGTAAAGTTACACTATCTGGATAATTACTTAACTATTTTATCAAATATTTAGCCGTGACTAGCTTTATTTACCTACATAAAGCTTCAACACAGATCAGTTCATGCGTGTAAGTACGGTAACAATGCTCACCATGTATAATAAATTAATAGAGTGAAATACAGCCTGCCAATGATATAGCAGCAAATGTCCCACCGTGCTATATTGACTCTAGATCATCACTCTTGTAGCCTTATTATATAATCACTACTACCTCATCATTTGTCGTTACTTTTTTTGCCTCTTTTTTATGAAAAGAGACCAATACTACCGTATATATGGGGATAACCATTAGAAAAATATACTATAAAGTATGAGTATTTATTTTATGCTGGTAAAGATGTGTTTATACTATAATATAAAAAGATGTGTGTGTATGTGTGAGTGTGATTGGATCTGTAGCTGTAGGTAGACTAATTATTTTGTATCACTGATGGTACCATTATTGTTACTATCATTCTTACTTTTTAATTTGTATTTACACTATTTGTTATGCTTGCTCTCACAATTTTCTTTCACCAAACTGCACTGGACCACGTGAGAACATAAACTCTCCCTCCAACACACCGATATTATTACGTATTCCTCGCTCTCGCATTTTTTGACATAATCTATTTTTTCTTCCATCCACCCAAATCACATCTCTGCTCCTGACCAGTCATTCATCATCCAGTAATCATTGTATCACTGTGACCTTTATTGATTATTTGTCTGTACTTTTAATGTCTCATTATCGTTGTCTTTAATAACAGACCATCACCAACACACACACACACACACGTAATAATAATAATAATAGTAGTAGTAATAATACAAATATTAATAACAATTAAGAGACACTACGGAGCCACTGAAGTCCCAAAAAGTAAAAACAAATATAATGAAATTTTGCCCAAGACATCATGTAACTTGTGTCCACAAGTTATTATCTTGAGCACACAATATAATTATCTCAATTACAGAGCCCCTTAAGTCCCCAAAAATAAATAAATAAAAGATGCTCTTGTCCGCACAGGATAATTATATATCAGCAAATGACACAAAAATCTCGCTTTTGTATAGAGCAGGCTGTAACATGGTGTCTTGCCTGCGTTCAGGAATATTCCTTTTGCTGCCTTCACATGCAGTGGAATATTTCGACATCGCTGATAAACTTGACGACACCATTACACATGTGGGCTTGTACAGTTTGATATTAATATAGCAGAAGTATCTAAAATATTATATTTTCTCTAAAGGGAGGTCAACTTTTGATGGTTATAAAATAATTCTTTTTTTTTATATGTTGTCGCACTTGACTGAAGGTAGTCGGTGAGATTTATGAGCTTTTGTGGAGACCTTGAACGTGTCACAGCCCGACATGTTTTTCCCCTCCTCCATTATTCCGCCTTGTTTCCCTCCATCATCTCTGCTGAGCTCTCAGTGCTGCTCGGACGTCGCTTGAAGGTGCAGACCCGCCGAGTCCCGCTCTTTGGGGTTACATAGAGGAAAGTCAGACGACATACACGCCTTCAAAAGCACAGTGTTAGACTATTTAAGTGTAGACGACGGTCATTTCACCGCATTTGAGCAGTTTACAGTAAAAAATGGATCCAATGACTCAGTCCGCCCAGATATCATCGTCGCAAGGGCTTGCCGATGGACAAAATTCAGCTGCAAAAGAATCAAAGATGTCCGGTAAGAAACACACTCATGTCAACGTAATTAGCCTATGATAAATTTAAGATTAAATCGACGTTAAGCCATTTAAATGTTCTTGTTATGGACATCCTCATTAATGATTTCATTGATTTACGTCAAGCGCAATAACGCAATAATTTTAGTTGGCTGTGTAGAAACATATATCGTATATTGTCTATTGTTAGTCCATGTGTAATTGTTTAAGCTTGTATTAGCTTTAATGCGAAACACCTGTGGTGACTAATGAACGTATCCGGACGCACTGCTGCCAATCATCGCCTGTGCAACGTTAGCCTTAGCCTCCTGTCATGTATGATGACTTAATGCAAAACGTCCATTTAAGAATCAGTGATTTTCAGTCGCTTTACTAATACGCGTAAGCTTCTTGTTGTAGAGCATGAGATAAGACATTTAACCAAACAGCACAGACATTTAAAGAAAGCCGATATGTAAAATAAAACACCGCTTCACTCTGCGCAGAAGCGCTATTTTAGCACATGGAGACTGCCTGTTTTGCGAGGCTATCTCGGAATAAAAGCGAAATTAAATATAGAAACGCAAAATGTAGTGGATTTTACTGTAAGCCGAATTGAAGCCTGAATCCTAACGACTGTTAATGTAGTCTTACGTCATGCTCTACACCGCGGGTTTGCTTGTTAATATTTAGAGAAATATAACTTGACAGTTTTCATTACGGCATTCGGTGAGCAGAAGCTTGACGAAATGTTGCGATACTCTGCACTGCAGAGGCATTGTTACTGGGCGAGTGCCAGTGAAGGGAGGACCTCTTAAAGGCGCATTGCTCTTTTTGTGTCGGTGTCTTAATAATGGCAACATCCCAAGAACAAAAAAAAAAAATCAAACCCAAAAAGCTTAAGCGTCATCGTTTCTTTATGTCTAATACCAATCCCCTCCTGGTTTTGTTGTGTTTTTAGATTTCACAGTCTAGACAGGCCTAATTTATTCAAAGGAGCAGTGTTGTCTCCCACCCAGCTGGGCCTTTTTGACAGGGGGATTGTGTACCCTAAGGAGGGAGTGGCAGCTCCAGCATCAGTGTGTGTGTGTTTCTATGTTTGTATGTATGTGTGCGTTAAGCTGTCTGATTTGATCTACACCAGCCACTACATGTGAGACACTCGTCTTCAAAGCCATCTTCTCTTAATCAGACGGATTGTGGGGTTTAAAGAATTACAGCTTATGTGGTCATGGGCGTGAGCCGGACGAGGCAGGGCGTGGCGTGGCATCTGATGCCTCCCGGAAAGTTGTTATCGCAGAGAAAAGGAAATAAAAAATTCACTAAATTAAAGATCCATGGAATTAAAAAAAAACAGGAAGCTAAAAATAGACCATGAGCTCCATTCTCTCCATGTTTACAATCATGTGGTGATTAAAAATGATGATTTATTTAATTGTGCTTTTTGTCGTTTAGTCAAATATTATAGTTTGCTGAATTTTCATCTCCAGCTTTCTGCAAAAATGAGTTTGGTGCTTGATTATATTAGGAGCAGCATGTTTTGGATTGCTTGCTGTTTATTTACAAGGTCTGTAAGGAAGTGTAAATACATTCGGAGTATTTAAATATTGCAATAAAGGTATAGTTTTTTTTTTATCCTATGCTAGTTGAATAAAATGCGTTTCTGTATCCCAGTATGCTTTTGGAATTGAAATGTATCATATGCTGAACTGTAACACATTTCATCTCTCCAGATTCTCACTAATACGCAGAATATTATTCACTCAACATGCGGCAGAGCTGTTTGAGAGCATCTCTACGGGGTGTTTTCTGTTTTTCAATCCCCAACTGTAATTTAGAGGGAGACTCAGAAACATAGCTGTGCACATAAATAGTTATCCAGCAGTCCTGAACATATAGAACGTGGTTGTTTTATCCCTGACAGATGACACAAACCTTAGTCATTCCTGCATGCTGAGTCACCTTAAAGTGTGGGCTGTAGGCCATAAACTCTGAATCCACGTCATATGGAAAGACCTGTTTGTTGGTGTCTTCCTTGTTCAGAAATGCTAAATAAATATATTTATTTTAGGTTTTGTTGTCATAAACTAACAATATCAGGAATTTTACTTATATTTATAATCTAAAGCTTTTCATTTATTTTCTTAAAGGTCCAGTCAGTAAGATGTGTAGTGACTGAAATGATAAAGGTATTTTACTATCTGATCAGACATTAAGGAAACATGTTATGTTGAAGTGCTGGCTTCTCTGACAACAATGCAGCAGTCAGTATGTCCTCCTTCTAACTTTAGATTCTGCTCCTGAATGATCTGGATTTGTTTGAAACAGAGGAGGTAGGCGGTTTTAAGGCACCCCCACACGGCTGTTTTGGACGCCCCTCTGTTTGCCAGATATGAGAGCAGTTATCAGGTCAACAGGTGTTGCAGTGATGGAAGCGGGCAAGAGAAGTGGTTCAGATAGAAGTGATTGTACCCGACCTAAAAAGCCTCTGCATGTTTCTAATAAGCTCCACGAGCAGAAACGTGCTCAAACCAGGATCAATATTGGAGATGCTTTTGAAAAATGGAGAGACGTTAGAACACAGAAAGGTTTACAGACCGATGCAGAGCTGGATAAACACTGAAGCTTCAGTATCCACCACATGGTGACCTGTGAGAGCATGGACTCTAGAGAGGAGGGGGGAGGGGAGACAGCGCTCAGTAGGTGACAGAGTTACATATTGCTCCTTTAATGATTAATATGACGCTTGTTTTGTTCAGGCAGATAGATTTGCAAAGCTTCCCTGTGTTGATTTAAATGTAATAAATTAGTAAAATGTAAAAGTGTAAGAGCAGGATGAGATAACTCGGATAGCTCTTGCCGTTTACTGAAGCTGCAAAGAGAAGCAAACCGCTTCTGGTTTTGTCCTCTAACTGTTACCTATGACTTAGATGGACATATCCTGTCATAAATATGGTTTTCTCCACAATTCCCCGACCTGGTTGAGAGTAGTTTTCGTGATAATCTACACCCGGTGAGTCCGCCAGGCTACCAGATGGCCTGGCCCACCTCTCCAGCGTCTGTAACTGAGCCCATTCCACTTGACTGACGAGTGACACTCGAGTCACAAAGGAAGTGGCACACTTCAAAATGGAGACCTCATTTCTCAAACTACATTACATCAGAGATCCAGGGGAAGTTACCCTCTGATAGCAATCCCTGTTTTTCTGCATAATGATTCAAAGAACTTTAAAGTTGTCTCCAAACGTTGCAGCACTCAGACTTAAAGGGGGACTCTGGTGGTTTCAAACCTTGACTCTTAATTCCCCTTAAGGACTTGCACCAGTAGATTGCTTCAGCCAGCAGCAGTGTAATGTCAAAGTGCGTCTAGATTGATCTTCTAAGTGTCTGATAACGGCACAGAACGGATTTGTACAGAGATAACGTCTTAAACTCTCTCTTCAAAGGCGCCCGACTCCATTAGGGTCCACGCGGATCCTTAAAAAGTCCTGTGAAATCTTAAATGTAATTTTTAGGATTTAGGGTCATAACATGTCTTTAAAAAGGCGTCTTTGTATGTTTTTTATTTTTGGTAATATTGATTGGCTTGTTCATGTGACATTCACCGTATTTACAGAAGCGGTGGTCGCCTTTAAGGTGGCTAGGTGTCTGAGCATTCACAAACCGTGACTTGGAGAGCGATGGAGAAGAAGACGGGGAAATTAAAGTTGAAGGAAATTTGACTTAAAGGTGAAAAATCCAGGGACTGATTGGCAGGGATGAACGACGATTAAGGCCTGTGTCCACAGACAGCTGTTTTTATTTACTCTGGTTTTCAATACAAAACCAAAGCGCTCTGAAACAGAAACTGTGGGTGCTGTCAGTGCAAAAAGCGCTGTCCCTAGTCCATTGCAGTCTGCTTCACTGCTGCAGGCTGATGCAATCTATAGGTGCAATTCCAAACTTTTTGGATGTCATGATGACTCTTTAAAAGACACGTTCTCATGTGAGCAGACAATTGCTCGCTTGCTGTCCACACGTTAAACAACTCATATTTGCTCTGTGAATTTCAGTTTTCCCTTGCAAACATTATCACATGTGGTGCTTTTATTTTGAAGGTGGACAAATCGAAGTGTGGTGCTTTGTGTTGACGAGCTGTTTACTCAAATCACAACACATGAACAAACAGCTCGCTGTGAGACGAAATTAAGTTTGTCTCCGGTGTTGACACAGGTCAGAGGTTAACTTTCAATCACTGATGTGGATATTGTTAATGCACAGTTATCTCCTCTTTGAACACCACGCGAACAAGCTCTGCTGAGGGAGGAGGAAGAGTGTCGGTGCCTTGTAGAGCCCCTTCCTCCTCGTTCCTTGTCCATAGGTTAAAAACTGCACAGTCACTCACAGGGTGTTAGGACTCTCAGATAGGAAACAATAGAAGCTGATTTTGTTGCTCACTCACGTCGCATGCTATTAGGACATGCTGTTACCATTAGCCCACAATAAATTATTTCATAACTATAAGCTGACACAACCTCTAAGTATTGTATTGGGCTAAACCACAAACCTAATGATACACAGCTTTACTAATGTACATGTTTTACTTTAAAAAACCTGTCTCATTCATCTGAACTCATATCTGAGGGAGGCTAACATGCATTTGATTAGTTGATTATTGCTCGCTGTAAACCTCACGGAGGTGAAGCTTTAAAGAACACTGAGTTCTTTCCACCTCCCTCCCTTCCTCTCTGCACTTGTCTTGCCAACACACAACCCTCCTCCTCCCCCTTCACTCCCTGCTGGAGCCGACCGAATCTCTGAGGTCACACAGGCAATCAGATATGCCTGGGGTGGGGGGGGGGGGATGGTCCAGGATATCTGGAACACCAGGGCAGGGATGGCAGGCGGTGCAGCTGACCCACCCTGCACCATCACATCCACTCAGGGAGGAGCGTAATAAGCCCAAGGCTGCAGGGGCAACTCTGACCTCCAACTACTGTCTGCCAATAACAGATTAAATGTAGAGTTACTGGGAGTCCATGAA